GATTTTTACATATTATAAAATAATGAATTATTTTTTATATCCGCAATTTTTTTCGAAAGCTTTCGTTCTGTTGTGAGATAACTCTTTAGTGATTTGTTGCAAAAACGAAGATAGAAAAGCATGATCACTGAAATGCTGAAATTATAGGTGTTTCCCCTGAGAATGGTTAGTCTTAATGAAATTATTGTAACTGAACTGTTTCAGTCTTCGACTACAATGTTGCACTTATGACGGACTTCGATTTGCTGAGGAGGTTGGTCGTCCCCTTGTCCACAGCGGAGAAGTTTATAGCGGAGGTAACCATTCTGAAAGAGATTGTGATAAAACAGATTAATGCCAATTGAATAGTTTCCAAATGAAAAACTTGCTTTCATAAAAACCATATATTATTTATTGCCATCATTACAACACACCCTGTACCAGTTTCTTATCATTCCTTTGCTCTTGAGCTATGCAGTTGCTTATCGCATGAAAGCCTTTTTTCCTTCAGGAGAAGTGCTTCGTGACGGAAGACAAACGGGATTTGATTTGATCTCTAATGTGAAGAAGATCGATGCTGCAGATGGAACGTAAGTTATGCTCCATAACACTCCATATGTATGCAGCCAAACACATTCCTATTTACACTTTGATATACAGTGACATGAGTGCAGATAACACATTTGTCTAACAAAGAAACAAGTTAGGCAAAATCTGTGTGACTCCATCTTATGTAAGAGTGGGTACTGCGTTCCAGTTTAAATTATGACAATCACATCAGTAAACCCACCAGATCTTTTTGCTTCTATTGAATTGTAATTGATGAATTTGTCTAAGTTTCATTTGTCACAAAACATATTGCAGCGTTGCCTACGAGCTTACAGTTGTTCGCATGAATTGTCTACCCGATCCAGCGGAGCCCACTAATGATGGTTAGTAACTTCGTGTTGCGTTGATTTTATCACAGTTATTATTAGGTTGGCTAAAAATTATTTTTGGTCGTGTCACCAGTTTCATCGCAGGTTCTGTAAGACAATTCTGCAGGCATGACGTCATTGAAAAATTACTTCACTAAGGGAGGAAACCAGCTTTGCCATTCTTTTTGAAATTTATTTAACACAAAGACAAGCGAGTTTGAAAATTCCATCACTACTTCGGATGGAATGACTACATAGCGAACTTACGCAGAATGAGGCAGTGGTTGAACAAG